AAAAGATTGGTGACTTCTTGAAGATCTGAAGCTCTCAATATAAATGACTCTACATTTGTTAAGCATTTTACAAGCCTATTGCTCAGTAATTTGAGTCCCGGAATCCTGATTTTTGATGTAAGTGATCAATGCAGACATTTTTTCAAGCCTAAATCAATTTTGATGATTAAGAGTTCAGTTTTCACACAGTTCTGCACCAAGAATTTCTTTTGAATAGCTGGAAAGATGCCATGTTTCTAAATTTGCAGGAAAAAGGAGCTTGCGGCTTTTTTAATATTGTAGCTTCACCAATTTTTCAAGTGTAAGACCAGTTACTAAATTTATACATCAAAATAAATTATTTGACTTCCCTCTCTACCTGAATAAATTTTATTAAATTAAGCTTGTGAGTTGTTTGCCCAATAAGCTTTTCTGTTAATTTTTTAGTTAGCTTATATTATCGGTAGATCAAAATTATTTTGCACTATTTAATGAAGCAAAGTTCTGGACGCAATTCAAAATACAATAATATAATTGATTTTCGCGAATGACTTGTAATATAGGGTAGGATTTGGGCTCTGATGATAAAGTCTAACATTAATTTCAAATGTGTTCTTTTCTTTATTATTCTCATTGTTCTTAGACTGCGGCCACACCGGTTTAGTTTTAGCATCATAATTTCGCATTTGACTGCTAATTCAAGTTGAAATCAAAATTTATTACGCATTGCATCACATTCTTACTTTGTAGCATATAAAGTGACTTGAAACTAGACACATTAAACTCTAGTACGCGTGTGTGCACTCGCGCGTCTATGTATGTACATATAGATATATATACGTGTTTGCAGCTTTCGTGTGTGTAGCTTTTTTATTGGAAAAACGAAAGTTTCTTTCTGTTAGTGGACTTAGTTCTTGAGTGGAGTCGAAGAATTAATCCTTACATTTCCTCCTTATTCTTGTGTGATTAGGGTAAATATTAATATTACTCCTCCATCAGTCAATTTTGGGATGACAAATTGTAGTAATCATCATGGATTATTGAGATTGTTGTGCTATTCAACACTTGAGCCGAAAGCTATGGTTTTAAATACATTTCTTCAACTCATTAACTCTTATGCAGAAATGATGATAAATGATTAGTATATTGAAAGTTAAACATATCTATTTATGCAGTCTCTTTTCTAGTTTGCTTCAAACGCAGAGAATTAGTGATTTTTCTCATCGCACACGTCCTTCACATAGAGATGTGAGATTTCCATTCTAAAAAATTAATTAGAGTAGTCCCATTTTCTCCTAAACTCATAATATTCCCCCTATCTAGTTGATGTGGGGAATTTTTACTCAATCTTTCCCATCAATCCACCCCCAGTCAAAGTACCACATTTCAATCCCCTTAACCGATAATTTATCCCTGTTCATCTACCTCATATTAGGTTCCATTAAGACTCGATTGCTATATGATCGATGCAACTACTTTGAGATCAACCATTGATTTTTTTGGGCGATATATCAAAACTATCTAGGACCTTCGTTCAGATTTTCCATGTAGGCCTGAATATTCATCTTACTCTAATAGGTTAACTTTTTAGAATGAAATCTCACATCCGTGTCTTCTACCTAATGTCCACAAGCTCAGCAAAAGTAAGTTATACTCAAAAGCACATTACTTAAAACAGCATATATACTAATTTCATTCGTTCTATTTGTGTTAAATGCACCATACTCACCAAATTTTAAGCTAAGTTGTATACGTCGCTCTTCTTCAATCCGATGCAACAAATTTTTCAACTTTGATTTGCTCGGAAAAAACTGGTCATTCAGTCCATTGTCTCGTCAATTTAACTAATACACATTACTCAATTCTAAAAGAGAACTTTTTTAAAAAAATGTATGACCTAAGATCAATTTTTACACATCAATTACCCATTAATTTTAACTTCTACGTCAGCATATCACAGTAGTTAAAATAACGCAGTGGATAGAGTGACCATACTTGTAAGCAAATCGAAGTAGGATGACCTGATTAGACTAAATTGAAGATGAGCGACCCGGATGCAACTCCGCTAAAAGGTTTAAATTTATTGGAGACAAGGTTTAAATATTTCGTTGTTCCTTATAATGTAATGAGGTGATTTAAGTGGTAGAAAACATGACATATACATATCCAGATAATATAGTGTTAGCAGTAAATGTATAATTAGGTCAGGTGGGTGAGCACTTGAATGGATCCTATATATAGAAGAAAACCAGTGTTTTCTTCAAATGGTTCGGTCGTTAGCTTTCAGTAGTTTAATTTGCAGCTGAGAAGTTGAGTTACTTGTTGTCTCAGAAATCCTATAGTCATATTGAGATGCTGATTAATGAGTCAAAATCAGATTAAATATATGCACAGGTAGAGTCTAACCAGGTGGAACAGAAAACCAAATTTTACTTGTAACCATAATTTAAGAATTTATGAACTTATAGTATAAAAATAGGGTAAGCTGATGATTCAGATTCAAAGTAGGTAAAACTGGTGAACAGTCAAGCCCTCTTCTATGTACACGACAACGATACCATGCTTTTTTGTAGCGTTATATTTGTGGTACTGGGGTGGGGATGGCAGTACTATAAATCAATGTTGGTGTGGGGAGGGATGGAGGGAGAGACATGGATTTGTTAGTCGAAGAAAGCGGCTTAGTTACAAGTTTCCATTGTACAAATGTTTGGTGAGATATATGGAGTTTCTGTTTTTTAACCAAAGAATGGTAGGCCAACGGTCAAAACAAGCCTTATTTCCCACATAAATAATTGTTAGTACATGAGTTACCTTAATTTGGGTACCTAGTATATAATATTTAAACCAAGAGTTTGTTTTCTTCATATGGGGTTTTCACTCTCTTATCAAAGAAGAAAAGACTTTAATTGAAAGTGTCGTCATTAAAATAAAATAAAAAACCTAAGTTCCCAAGCTTGTTGTTCTTATGGGGTTTTCATTCTCCATCTACAAATACCTAAATTAATCCATCTTCTGAAGATCTCTACAGTTGGAACAAAGTTGGTTAACGTCCTTGCTCCTCCATTTAAATTGGAAGGCCTTTCATCTTTTGTGTTTCGGTGTACAATTGTCAATCCCCATTTACACGGTCGCTCATATTTTCGAGAATATGAATAAGCAAATCATGCACAAATCAAGAAATTGTGACATTGTCCAAATTTTGCAATAACAAGAATTCAAGAGGGGCAGAAATTGTATAAGGAAGAATTAAAGGGAATAATTTTCATTTCAAAAGTGTCAATTCCTTAATTTCTTGATTATGCTACAACTTAACATTTGGAGGAAGAAAAAAAGAATGTTGACTAAAACTGGCAGTTTAACCTACAAATATGGCAGTGTTTCCACGTGCAATATTGAGAATGAAGGCCAATTAATGTCTAGTTAGGTCAAGGAAAGGTGATCAAGACCTACAACCATATATATATACATGCGTCTTCACAAGGTCTAGAAACAATTAATACCAAACTTTTCTTGTCGGTAATACTATGTGTTAGATATTTATACAATAAATATAATATGTGAAAGAAATAATTAATTCAGATGAAGTGTCCAATTTGTGAAAAGTGTGAAATTTGTGTGCGAGGTCGGGAATGACCGTTTTTAACTGTCCAATATTAACAACACATTACCAGTAGCCATAAAAATTGCAAATAATTCTGGAACATGGTGGAGGCAATTACACCTTTTTTTCTGCCTATATAAACACACATCTAGGCATTAGAAAATTATTACAAATACGAAATTATATCTTCCTATTTAGAAAATATTATACTCAATTTTACATA